CGGCCTCGGCTCGGTGCCGTCGGACGACCCGTCACACACCCCACACATACAGCACCTGCCGGCCGGCCAGGGGCGTCGCACGTCGACGCCGGCGTCCGCCGCTCAAGAATAGAACCCTGTCGCCATTTCTGGAGCTTCATTTCGAAGTCGTCGACGATAACGTCACGGTGACGGGGCTCACGTGGATAAATTCGCTTTATTGAGCCCCCGGGAGAGGGGCTGCAATCACGACGGCCTCTGGCAGTGAGCGCCGCGACGGCCTCTGGCAGTGAGCGCCGCGACGGCCTCTGGCAGTGAGCGCCGCGACGGCCTCTGGCAGTGAGCGTCGCGACGGCCTCTGGCAGCGAGCGCCGCGACGGCCTCTGGCAGTGAGCGCCGCGACGGCATCTGGCAGTGAGCGCCGCGACGGCATCGGGCAGTGAGCGCCGCGACGGCATCTGGCAGTGAGCGCCGCGACGGCATCTGGCAGCGAGCGCCGCGACGGCATCTGGCAGCGAGCGCCGCGACGGCATCTGGCAGCGAGCGCCGCGACGGCATCTGGCAGTGAGCGCCGCGACGGCATCTGGCAGCGAGCACCGCGACGGCTTATCGGTCTTATCTCTGGAGAGCTGACGCACAATCGCGGCTGGGAGTTGAGCTCAATTCAAGCCTACCATGCAGCTCCACGCCCCATCTTGTGGTTACGCAATCTGCGCTCAGTGCTACTGCCAAGGATTTAATTTCCCCCATTAAAGAGGGTTTACGGGGTTTCGGTATGAGAGAGAAGGCAACATTCGTTTCTAAAGGCAAGAACTGCACGTGGTTCACAGCTATGGCACTCGTACCCCAGGGTTCATCTAATGATTGTTTTATAAATTGCTGGCACAGGAACTTTATCGGTTTGTTGGTAACTGTGGGAAAGTGCATGCATTTTGCCCAGGGGTGTTGTCCACCACGTGTTATCGACGCCACACGTGTCAAAGAAGTTCAGCAATCAAAGGAGGTGGCGTGGCCGGTTGAGTTGGCGGGGCTTACTGGCAATGCGTCCACCTTTCATGTATCACTGTAAGCACACAGCCGTTTTCAGCAAAAGTTCTGGTGCGCTTGGACTCTCCCTGACATGTTCAATAAAACTGGAGCTAAAACTCGGTTTTTAAGGTAAAAACTCGAAGTCCCCGAAGTGTAAAAGTTCTTGTGACTGGTACCAATCTTTCTTTTTCCCCAACACGCCCATGACGTCACAGGAGTATAGCGCTTTTAGAATTCCGCGGGGTTTTGTGATTTACGATGGCCCCATGGGAACATCGTGTTCAGGCCACTGACTGCCTACAAGCTGTTTTAGGAGCCCGAGGGTCATGGTCCCTTCTGATGCAACTGAAACATTTTTCCCCGGGGCGATGTGCGAAAATAAAGTACTTTAAAGAGGTTTGGCTATCCAGCTTCTTGAAAAGTTGCTTCGTTTCTGTTAATACAAACGTAACTTGTTGATAGATTCGAGGTGGAGGAACGAATGCCGGACCCGATAAACCAGTAAACTGGTTCAAACTGGTGCCGTTTTTCACATCCCCGACAGGAACGGAGCGGAGCGGCATACGAGGAACGCGGTGCTGTTCTACTGCCGACCTAACGACGTTCCACTTATTGTTCCAACCGTAAACATGTAAACACCTTAAACGGACTCGTCTTAATCCAGAATAACTGATGGCGGGCAACACGGCCACCATTCTTTGAAGAAAGTGGTTACGATCTCAGAGATTCGGCGGCGGTTTTTGTTGCCCGGATTGTGTAATGGTAAGCAGCGGTTCACGCTTCCCAAGCTGACGGCTCTAGCAACCTGAATGTAAGTATCTGCAGTGAAGCATATCAAAGATGCTTAGACTAGCGAAGATTATCCGGCGATTTCTTACCGTGCCGCAGGATGATGCCCACAAGTTTCAGCCACATCAACCCCCCTCTACTTGCTAGCCTCTGAACTAGAAGATACCTTCGCCACCGGACCAGAGCCCGCTTCTATGCGAGACGTCGCTACGTCGATGCGATGAAAATTGATCACCATCCAACATGAACAATGTCATGATATGACTCATCAACGTACCCGACATCTTATGTAATCGCTAGTTCCCTTTCTTTACCTCACGGTCGTAGCGCATGCACCTGCATTAACCGGTTTCGCGAACCAAGTACATGAAAATGAAAATGAGGGCATCTTGCTCGCGATTCCTCAGCTTTGAACACCCATATGCCTGAATCACGAAGGGTGCGCGCTAATTCGGTAAATGTCTGATGATCCAAATGAGGGGGGGGGGGGGGGTACATGGCTGCTCAGAAGTGGAAATGTAGCCTTGAACACATGTAAGCTTTAGCCAACAGCCTTGATGAAGATCACCAGGCTTTTGTTTGATAAGGCCAGCACGGAAACATGCTACACCACTTCGGAGTATCATCTCGCCGCGTCTCATGTTGGTGTCAACAGCCCGTGGCATCTTCTGTGCAGAAACAAGGTCCAAAAAATGAGCACAAGCCGCTCTGCGTTGATTTGTTGACTGTCTTTACCAAGGGGATTAATAATATAAAATTAAATTCGTATTCGAATTAGGGTCGGCGTTCGGATTTGATGAAATCCAGTCCATTGGTTGATTGCATCGAACTTCTCACGAAAATGTAAGTCCTCTTCTACGGTTTCATTCGTTTGATCTTCAGTAGTCAATTAATTATAAGACATTCAAAATAAAGCCGAAAGCAAATATTAGAAAAAAAAATTCGCTGCACTTGCTTACCAATGAGCTAAATCCTAAAGAACGTGTTAACAAAATATATATTGGCACCCCTTTGCATGATCAGTGCGACGGGTACCTGTGGTACGGTGCAATATTTTTTCTCTCGCAAACTTTGAGGCAATACTTGGCGAAGGTCATCAACCACGAGTTATATGTAAAACCAAAATAAGGCACAATTTGGTCAGCAGAAGTGCTAGACAAGATCAGACCTTACTTTCGTGAAGTAAAATTCAAGGGACGGATCCACATTTAAAGCTATCGGGACAGACAGCACATACCACGAAAAAACCTCGCTAGCAAAGTATGTGTGCTTGCAAAGTATGCTTTTACGTAGAGGGCTGCTGTAAAAAAATTACAAAGTAGAAAATGTGCTCCTCAAGTAGTCAGTCTGATTACGTGACATCATGTTTCTATGGCGTCAGTGTCACGTCGGCGTTGCCGCTGTAGCGGACGGCGGACGGCCGCTACAGCGGACCGCTGTAGCGTGACTCTCGTGTAGATCCTCTACGCGCCGCAAGGTTGGCTTGCTGGTCTGCAGATGGACATTTATGTTACGAGCGTTACGTGCGTGCGTTTTAATATTTTCTCGTAGTGTTCATGAGGACAGGCTCTTTATGATTGCCGTTGCGTTTTCGGTTGCGGCGCTGGTCCTAAAATGTCCGATTCTCAGCCTCATATCCGCCATTGCTCGTAGGTGTCCCACATACGTGTATTTACCACAAAGAACGGTTCGTGATCGATGCATGCAATCGGCAGCTAAATTTGACTGTTAGCCGAATGCTCTTTGTGGTTGGGACACTTGTTACTGCATCACTGCAGACACTCGTATTTCAGGAGGCATTTTTTGCCTTGACCATGAGCATTATACACCCAAAGCAGTGGGGGGCATTCGCGTGACGCCTCTATGACGTCACACATGTCTGAGAGACTTTCAAATTGAGAGCGCGGAATGGGCTGCACAAGATTGCGTGCATCAAGTTCAGACAGAGAAGGGCTCGAAGTCACATAAGGCATAGCTGAAAAACGCAGGGAATGATATTGAAAACATTTATATCATTTCAAAAGCCCATACACCTGTGGAACAGTCCTTGTACGGGGCGTTGCATATTTAAAGATATTGAGGCAAGCATCATACAAAAATATGCAAAAATAATTTCACTTGTAGCTACTGGCTTGCTTTTAAGTGTAAAAGGTTACTCTAGACAATACGATTACGCTAGTTAGGAAAAATGTTCAACAATAAGTCATCATCTGATTGTGTCATGGAACGTCTCTATGACGTCAAGTCGCTGCCAGACTGGCCGTGACAGAACTGCCACTGTGGCGGACGGGCCGACTCACTTGTAGTACTTCAACCTGCCGAAACGTGACAGCGTTTGCCGATGCGTGATTTCTGGGCCCAAATATCGATATGTGCTTGTGTTTTGGCCTTGTCTCGTGGTGTTTTTATATATTTGTTCGTTATTTGATATTTTTGTTTCCATTTACATACTCGGCTACATACAGAGCGTTTCCTCAAAAGTTACTCGATCCTCGGTGTCATCTCCGTCATAACTCATGCCACTGCCCATATTCCTGTATAATATGACACAAAACGTGGGTCGTGTGTGAAACTTGCACTTAACCCCTTAAACTGGCTGAAGGCCAACTGATGTCCGAATGCTACGAATCATGCTAACGTGCGCCAATCACGAATGACTTCATGATCATACGCTTCTTGACCTTGAAAGGTATGTGGTCATTGATAGAGCAGTATCCGCATAACGTTTCTATGGCGTCATGCCAACCTCGGTGACCTTAAAATAGTATGCACGGAATAGTTCGCACAAGTTCGCGGGCAACAAGCTCAGAAACAAGTTTTAAGTTTTAAAAGGGCATGACTGTGAACCGCACTGAATGATATTCAAAGTAGCTATTTCAGTCCAAGAACCCACACAAATGTTGAACAATCTCTTTAAGAAAAAGAAGTTTGGCAAAATTATTTGATTCTTACCTAATAAAAGGTCACGAGATGACAAGATCAGGCAATCACCGTATCAAAATAAATATGGATGTTTTTTTTTTGTTTCCTCAGTCTCTTCCGGTTCTGGATGCATCCGGGATTTCCGCTTTTTCATGAACTTTATCTGTTGGCCCTAGAAAGGTCATGACCTCCGCACCCGACTGGACCCATGACCAGACTGGGGTCAAACTTTAAAAAAAACAACAACAATCAATGTGTCTAGATCACCACATACACCTAGTTGAAAATAAAGTTGAGGGGAGACATGAGGGCGTAACTCTCTAAGCGATTTGTCATGGAATATCCCCATTTAGTGCCCCAGATAATCACATGGGTTCAGATATGACATCACGCCAAGAACTTGCGCGTGGTGGCTAATAGCTAGTGGAAATGCCTTTGAGGTGATGTCATCGCGGTATTATTTTAATGGCGCCAAAAATTCCGATGCCTTAAATTCAGTTGTCTTTAACGTTTTGCGAGATTTGGCATACATATATTTATGTACGGCAAAAATACATAATTTTTTCACAAACCTGCTAGCAGGTAAGTCGAAGAGTGGTGTATTTCAAACATAATGTGCAGTACAAGATACACGGCCCATTCTGCATAGGTACCAAACCTTACTCTATGTCACACACACGGAAGCATACATCCGTTACAAGCATGCATGATTACAAGCATGCAAAACACTTATGGTAAAATGATCGCTTGCGAGGCCTCGTGACTGCATCCATAACTTAAGCGGTAATCAATGAACGCACTCATTCAGAAAAGTGCTTGCCACACACACTTACGACCGCGCCGAGATCAGTGTGTCACGAACGGTGGAGACACAGCGGCCAGCGGGCCCGGCTCGATACCATCAGTTGTGTATCACTGGCGCCCCGTCCAGGCGCTTCACGTTCGGGAGACGTTTAACCGCCTCGTCTCGCCAGGTGCCCTCCAATGCGTACTTCTCTTCCAGCGGGTTTCCGACAAAGACAAGGTCAACCAGATTGGGTAGGTCATTCAGTTTGGTGAACTCTGACCACTCTTTGACCACGTTGTTTGACATGTAGAGTACAGACAGTTTTCGCAAGACGTTGATGCCTTTCATCCTCTCAATGTTGTTGTAAGAGATCCACAACTGCTCAAGCGTCTCGGCCACGGCCTCCAAGCCAGCAAAGCTTTTGATGTTATTTCTGCCGAGAGATAGTATTCTTAGGCTCTTCAGAGCATTCAAATTCGTTATCTTCTCGATAGCGTTTGTTGACAGGCATAATTTCTGACAAAGAGACAACTGGTTGAGTGCTGCATCCATCTTCTCTATGGAAGGAAACAAACCGATCAATTTTACCTCAGTTGCTTCTGTCGCTTTCTGTCCCGTCTTCTCCTCCCACTGCTTAATGGCTTCTTTGATTGATGTGCCCTTAGACATTGCTGATCTTTTACGACGCGTTAAAAGTTACGACTTGCTCCGCCCATAGCAGAATATCAGTACTCTTGCATGTAAGCACATACGAAGATTATTATTTGCATTCTTAAGGCTAATGAATATTAACTTATGCACTGTTATCGATATTACAATTCATTTCTTCCAGCGCGTGCATGAGTAAAACGGGTAACACCGTCCAGTCCTCAATAGCGTCTCCTTTGTGACGTCGCTGGAACGTAAAATGAGACGAGTTAATGCATCACTAGCGCAACTATTGTGTACAGCACGTGACATTCTTAAGACGGGTACTTACAGACTGCTCGAACGGCAGTACCAAGTATTTCAATGATGTCACATGCTGGGACCCAAATTTTTTCTGTCTGGCAGTGTTAAGGGCCCTCCACGTTGGCAATCACTCACGGCATCAGCAGCATAACGCACATCCCTGGCTAAGGGCCTTCCAGTTAAGTATTGGTCTAACAAACAGTGGCACGGGTAGGGGGGGGGGGGGGGCACAAAGGACACGTTTCCTCCCCTTTAAGTCGCCAGCATCTGTTCGGGCCCTTCGGTACAGACGATCAAGGGCCCGATTCGAGGGTCCCCAAATCCAAAGATCTGGCTAGAAGTGTATTACGCGGCCGCGGTCCGCAAGGCCGGGTCCTCAAATGCCAGTCAGAGGGTCCCTTACGCCGATAGCGACTCTCCGAGTCGACGAGCATGTCCGGTCAGATACCACCACTACCAAACAGTCCGCTCCGTGTCGGTCTGGGCCTGAGGGCCTATTTTCCAAACAGGGACAAGGTCGGGGCTTGCGATTTGCATTGGTCCGAGCCACTGAGCCAATGTGCGCCCTGAAAGTGCGTAACGAGGATTCTGTGTTGGCAAGGGCCCCGAGTTGGCCAGGAGCGGTGTTCGCGGAGGGCCGAAAAAGGCCCGAAGGGACCCTCGCGACCGACTATGAAAGTCCCAGTTACTGGGCCCGAAGGGCTGGCTGTCGCCCACATTAAGGACCCCAGCCCGTGGAGCCGGACCTCTAACGGTCAGTTAGCGGGCTCTTGCGCCGATTGGGGATCCCATGTCACGACGCGGGCCTCTATTTCGGTCACAGACAATCAGCACCGAACAGTCGGCTCTGTCGGTCTGATCACTGAAGGCCTATTTCCCAATGAGGATGAGGCCGGGGCACGTGATTTGAATAGGTCGGGCCCTGAAACAAGGAGGGCACTGTTTAAGTCAGGTGCCCGCAACGCCTAACAGGTGTTCTTGTGTCGGCAAGGGGACCAGAATCGGCCAAGGGAGCATTTGCTGAACAGCGACAGGGACGGGACACCGAATGCGGAGGGCCTCCGGTGTTGTTGGGGCACTCTGACAATGAGAAGAGACGACAGAACTTACGTCGAGCGTCTACAGTGAGACAATGGAGGGGCCCTGTGTCAGCCACGGGCCTTGAACCGAACGGGAGGCCTTCCACCCTAGCTCAGCCAGGGACCCATTAAGCCGAACTGGAGTGTAACGCGTGCAAATTATTGGACACCTTACGGCGATGAAAGATCTTTTAGCAGCAATGAGGGCCCCTGCGTCAATCCGGGGTCACCTGCCCGGGCAGGGGGCCTCCCGCATCAGGGAAGGGGACCAATGTATAATGTATCCCTCTCAGGGCCTCGGGATCGACAAGGGAACCTCACTTCCTTGTCGCCATAATGGCACCCGGTAGGCACCCCGCATCAGAATGGAATGAGATTCCAGCCGCTGGCCGGTGAATCTAATGTGGCGCCTAGTGTTTTACCCACCTTTCCCGGAAAAAGTAAGGGGTCTCCTAAATGTTCAAAAGGATGGATCAAAATATGATCAGAAATGAAAAAAGCCAACCCAAGGTCATCTGAGGACGTCCATGCTTTTCAGAATCAACGCGTGAAAGAAACTGCGTGCAATAGCTTTGAGCCTGCGCACTACTAATCTAATGTGCAAGAACATCCTTGGCCGGGGTGGTAGTTTCCATTAAATCAAACAGCGTTGGCCTGCTGTAGGTGACATCGGGAGGTAGGCGCCGGGCCCGCATAAAAAGGACCGTCGTGAAATAATGGTTCCAAAAGTACTTACAAATCAAGTTGTGTCGTTTAAAGTATAGATTGAGGCGTACCTTTCCACCAGTAGAACCTTGAGGGTGCTGCCGGAACAGTTTCACAGTAAGAGAAATCCAAATCTGACTTTACTCTTACAGTTGCACCGCCAGATTCCACCACCAGTTCGCAGTATTGAAAATCCCACGAGTGAAATAAACTACCTTCCAAGTTTTGTTCACCGCCCAGTGTGAGACACGAAACCGACGCCATGCGGTCTAAGAAGACTGCAACGCCGAGCGTCGATTTTTGCTTATATTTTAAGAATCGTGAGCGTGCATGTTGAAAACTAGGTTATGTAATTTTTCACCACTCCATTCTGAGCGAAAGTTGGACATTCCCAGACGAACACGGGTTTGTAACGTCAATACGATTGTTTAAGCCAACTTTGATCTACCATCTACGTTCACGGGGTACTCAATATTTTTGTAGAACCCCGAAAAATTTCGCCACAGCCCCCCGAGTACAATCGGTTTAGAAAGTGTTCACTGAAACGCTACACAATCAATAGCATCAGCGGTTTATTCCTTGCAGTCATTTAATGCCTGGATCGCTCGAATTATTTACTTCGAATTGCAAACATGACTGCATCTTCCGGTGGCTTATGGTCGCTGTCAGTTACAGGCGATAATAATTTAGCCAAAACGAAGAAAACCTTTCCACCTGGAGATAAATTGTACGATAATTCGTGACTCTATTAGGGGGATGGGCACCATAAAAGGCTATTTCGTTAACCCTGAGCCCCCCCCCCCCCCCCGCCCTTACGAAATCTCCGGCTGCGCAAGACAGCTTATTGCGACATAACGAATAGAGAAACATGATTCCCAAATAAACCGCATCTAAAGCAAATCCCTAACATCTAAAACATGCCAAAATGACACGCCGCCAGTTGGTACCCTCCTACCATTCAACCCATGTTAAGGCCACGACCTTGCAGATGCATTGCGATGCAGAGACAACCCGTAGCGAAACGCGACACAAAAGGTGTCCCGGGAGCGTGTCGTCACTTCCCACATGCTCAAACAAAACATTTTCCGGCGCGCCGCATCGTTTCACGGGTCATTTGGCTTTCGCGACGTGTTTCAAGTCAGGCACGCATGAGGGGTACATAGGCATGAGAACTAAGAGCGTGTGCTGATCCGCGATACAATGTCAACCCGCGTCACGCGTCGAGCCGCTGATGGTCCTTGAGGTGCCGAGGACGCGCCCTGAGACAGCCCGCCGGGGCCTCGCCTTCCGGGCTGCGACCCCATAATGAGTCCACGCGTCAGCACGGAACCGACGCGCCCGAGCGCCTGCGCCTGGCGAGACCGGCGACCGCTCGGACGTACTGACGCGTGCTAGTGCAATATGTACTTCGGCATGTTTTATTGTCAAAATCCCTGAGTGTGTGTGCATTTCCGTGCGTGTATGCATGTGAGAAGCGTGCTAACCGTTTGACGCGTAACAATAACAAGCACATTGTGGAAGTTACAAACACACATGATTGATTGACTGACGTAAGCTAAGCCGTGCGCACGGCTGTTTGGGAGGTGTGGTGCCTCAGCGACGGAACACGAGCGACAGACGGAACGTGTCGAGGCGGTGTGACCGGCACAGCGGGCCACCGCTGTCCGGGCATGGAGCGGAGGGGCCTGCTGACGGCGTACCGACCGAAGACCGCCCGATCCCACCAGTGCTGTGTTCTTAGTGCAACGGTACGATCCTCAGGGAGTTCCGTGAGGTCCCACAATCTCTATACTGGGTGAGCCGTGGCCGGCACGGGGTTTGACGTGTGCGGCGGCGCCCGGTGAACAGGTGCGAGCCCGGAGTGTCGGCACGAGCCCAGAGTGTAGATGCCAGCCCGAAGTGTCGGTGCGAGCCCGGGGAGTGGTGGTGCGAGCCCGGAGTGTCGGTGCCGGCCCGCAGTGTCGGCACGAACCTGCAGTGTCGGTGCGATCCCAGAGTGTCGGTACGATCTCGGAGTGTCGGCACGAGCCCGCAGTGTCCGTGCGATCCCGGAGTGTCGGAGCAATCCCGGAGTGTCGGTACGATCTCGGAGTGTCGGCACGAGCCCGCAGTGTCGGTGCGATCCCGCAGTGTCGGAGCGAGCCCGCAGCGTCGGAGCGAGCCCGGCTGCCGGTGCGGCCGTGGCCAAACTGGGCCGGTCGGCCGCTGAGCCCCGGCTCCAGCCGGTCGCCGCCGGCCGTCGGCCATTCATTGCGGACCGGCCTCACGGACTGACGGTGCAATCAGGGGCGACGGTCACAGGGGTCGGTGCACACGGCGCGCCAGCAGCAGCGCACGTGCGGCGCGCCCAGGTGCCCGGGCGGAGAGGCGCGGGGACAGGGCCGCTCAGGCCGGCGGCCGCAGCGGAGCACCGGCGCCGCTGCTGACGGCAGGCGGCCACCGCCCTCTGAGCGCTCTCGAAGGAGTGGCGGCCGCCTGGTCTGGCCTTGGCGGCGCGGCACCTGAGCGCCTCCCACGCCACATGTGACGGGATTTGACGGCTTTCCAAAGCGTCCGTCATGCCGCCGCCCTCCGTCCGGCCGCGGCTCCGAGTCATGCGAGCTCGCGCCCTGCATGACACGCAGCTGCATACACGCGCCGCCGGAGCCAGGTGAGCGCGGCGCGTGATCACCAAGCCTCCGCCGTGATGATCTTCCAACTGAATGAAAGCCGCATCGCATGCGACGCAGCGGATCGAGTCCCTATTACTTCCTGCCGCGCAGGCACACGCCTTCGAGGTCAATCCCGCGTCTCGCGCAGAACATACGATTGGCGTATCGAGCCCGGACGCGGTGCGGCGTCTTATCTCGCCCTAGATTGGGATCTTGTGCTGCCGCAACTTAATTAGGATCCGGCCGTCACCCTCCAGCCGCAGTCTACAGGCTCTCCAAGCACACCGAGTACTGGGAACCGGTCCCGCCTGCCTGCAAATTACCGCGTCGGCATGGCGGGACGCGTCTTATGCTCTCTATCGGCGCTCATCTACCCTGGCCCTGGTCGGCCGTGGCACTGAATCTGAGCCGGCCGCACTCTGCACATGAGTGGCATATTCTGACTTGAAATGACCAGCTTAAGGGGAGTGTTCCGGATTTTCCCACGGCGAATGAATTGCGACTTGACGTATCGTAACGTAACGGTGAGGTTCGAGGAGAGCCGACTGTTGCGCTGAAGGTGACTTTATGTGCCCTTAGTCATGGCTC